GCTCCATCACCTCAGTTAAAAGAGTGATGGGCATATAAATTTAAAGGTCACTCAGTGCTACAGGCTGGCTGCTAAGGAACTGGATGTTGCTCCTGTGGAAAACCACCTTTCTCTCGAGATGGTGAACTTCAAATCTCTCCAAACTCATGAGACTGCTTTGAATTGTGATGCTGTATCTCCATATCCCAAAAGAAAGCTAGTCTGTGAGCTGATTCTGAAAAAAGAGAAGCCCATGCTAATGAAAAAACAAAAGATTTCCTAACACTGCTTCACTTTGCTGCAGGGTGCAGTAGTGTGTCTGTGGTTAAGTGTCTTTAGCAGCATGGGGCTGATGGTCATGCGGAGGATGGGGGGGGGAAGCCTTGTTCCTTTGCACGATGCCTGTTCCTATGGACTCCGTGGGGTGTCTGAGCTACTTGTTGGGTGTGGAGCAGTTGTCGATGTGGCTGATTTGTGGAAGTTTACCTCTTTACCTAAAGCTGCTCTATTAAGCTTAAAGAGGGTTCAACAAGCAGCTGCAGAAGCACTTACTACAATCCTGCTAGGCAAATCCTTGCCAGAGAAACCAGATGGTGGAAGTCTCCACACCTCTGAAATAAGCCACGTGTTTGAGATTTCACCTAAAAGAAATTTGTCGGTGAATCTTAAGGTGACCCGTGATAGTGTTTCCTCACTTAGTGCAACTAAAGTTCCTGTGGGCGAGTTTATGGGTGGGAGTGAAAGCAAGAGCAATAAGGTCACAAAGAAAGACGCACCATAGATGTTCTGGAGGAGAAGGAGCTGCCTACCCTTTCCCAAGCTGAGAAAATGAAGCCATGGGCCAGAAGGAAAGCAGGCTTCACCTGGAAAAGGTGAGCAGAGGAAATCCAATGGACGGCGAGTGTGCCAGGTGACTGTCGATCGTTGGAAGAGAGCATGGACTTCAAAACCAGTCTTTGTTGCACCGAACCCAAATCGGGAATTCCTCCTCAGCTGTGTGGGTGCATTGAGCCTGGGATGTGGAGCTGGACTGGGCCAAGGGGATGACAGGGAGAGTCTATGCCCAGTGACTTTTACCAGCAGAAGACTTCAACCTCGTGAGAGACATTGCTCTGCCACCAAGAGGGCATACCTGTCTGTCGTAGGGACCTGGAAGAAATGCAAGCCATACAGATGGAGAAGAAAGTTTACCCTGTGCATGGACCACTCACCTTTGAAATGGTTGAGAACTTGCAAGCGAACAGTAGCAAACTGACCAGATGGTCCTTGATTCTCCAAGATTATGA